AAAAATACATTTATACCCTTGTGTGCATCTATTTACATAAAATATAGAATATCCTAGAAGGTTTTACGTTGTCGGGGATCGAAAGACTTCAATCATATTTTATATTTGGGTTAGTGTCATGTTAACCCAACAAACATTTTCCATTTGTTTTAAAAGTCCGCTCAATTGTTTTTTTTTTTTTTTTTTTTTTTTTGTATTTTAAGGAAATAAAATTGATTTTTTTGTACTAAAATTACCATTGTCCTCCATTTAAAAGGGTTACCCGATAACCTCATGGTTAGTCAACATATTTGACTTTTGCCTGACATTCAACCTTTACATTTATCATCATCATCTTTATCCCCAACAAATCATCATTATATACTTTTAAAGTTTACAATTTTTTTTTTGAATCACATTCATTTGAAACTCCCATGTATTTTATTCCTTTCACCACATTCATTTGAAACTCCCATATATTTTTTTCCTTTCACCACATTCATTTGAAACTCCGATGACTTTTTAATTTCTTTCTAATAATTATTATAAGTTGGTTAATAATATTAAATAAATATCAAACCTAAAGTATAATCATATATAAACTAAATTTCAATATAAAAAATATATATTTTTTCTTCTACTTATAAAGTTTGTTTTTAACTTTAAACATATTATACTTAATTTATTATGTCTAATATGTTGTATGTAAGCCATTATCAATTTAAAGCTACAACTTTTGATCAATTTGAATAAAATACTTAAATTGTTAATTTAAATATAACCTTATAGGATCAATTTAAACATAAAATTTAGATGAACTTAAACAACCTAATGAATATTTTGTAAATAGTTAAAAGTGATAAATTGTAGTGTCTTTCTAATAATGATTATAAATTGGTTAATAAGGATAAACAAGTATCAAACCTGAAGTGTAATAAAAAATAAACTAAACTTCAGTATTAAAATAATATTTTTACTTCTACTTATAAAGTTATGTTTTTAACTTTTAACATATTATACTAAATTTATTAGATTTAATATGTTGTTGTATGTAAACCATTATCAGTTTAAAGCTACAACTTTTGAACTCTATGAACAAAATAGTTGAATTGTTAATTTAAATATAACATTGCAGGGTCAACTTCAATATAAATTTCAATTCCACTTAAAAAAACCCAAATAATATTTTATGAAAAGTGAAAAGTGATAAATTATAGTGTTAAACGAAAAAAACTTAAATGTAATATCAATTCACTAAAATATTTCCTATATATATTTTTATAATCGTTAAAAGTTTTGAAATAAGTATCTTAAAATAACTTACAATAACAATAGTTTTTTTTTTTTGAAAGGGAACTTCCCTAACGAGGGTTTCCGGGCCAGCTTTCGCGCACCGACTAATCCCCTGCTGCAAACATAAAGCTTTGCCTCATGCCCTGGAGTCACTGCAGGCGAACCTCCATGGCCACAAGGGCTGAGTGATGCCAGGATTTGAACATGGGTCAATAGGTTATCCACCATATCTTCCACATATCTTACCAAGTCACCACAACCCAAGTGGTTAATAGTTAAAAATAACTCTATATAAATGATTATATTGTTACCTTTAAAATCAAATATATATATATATATATATATATATATATATATATATATATATATATATATATATATATTGTAACGACCCAATTTTCACGTCCAAAATTTTTGTTTTTAAAGAATTACTTTAGAAAACGTTAATAATTAAAAAGCATTGTTTGATCAAACCACATCACAACGTAAACCATGTCTAAAAGCCAAATCATACAACCAATCGAAATATCATAGTATAAATCCCAGAGAAATCTAATAAATGCGGAAACCAATGTGTGTGCATGATGTGCCGCTACCGCGCCAGCTCCTTCCCCTTTGATGAAGAGGTACCTGAAACCAAAACTGTAAACTGTAAGCACAAAGCTTAGTGAGTTCCCCCATCGTACCACATACCATACAAACACATAACATACATACTGCCAGGCTATTATGGGGTGCCTGACTACCCGGTACGGTCATTCTGAGGTGCCGACTACCCGTGCGGCCATTCTGGGGTGCCGTCCTACCCGTGTCAAACCATTCTGGGGTGCTGACTACCCGTGTCAAGCTATTCTAGGGCGCTGACTACCCATCGGTCCTAACAACCAATCCTCGGGGACTATTTCACCCCCTACTGCTACTTACACATATATCATACATAACATATTATCAGACATATGTGGGGTATCTGGGCTACCCTTTGGTCCTAACAACCGAACTCGGGGACTGGTCCCCTCCTCCTACCTCTATCGCATATAACATAACAAGTCAGCATACAAACACATCAGGTAGTAACAACCTAGATGATATCACAAAGACAATCATCTAATCATACGACTCCTATTGGTGGGCCGGCATTGTGGCCGTAGACCCACCACTACTGAAAGGTAACTCACCTCGAAGTAGCTGCTGATTTGATCGGGAACTGACTGTCTACTGCTGCTGCTACTGCTCCGAAAATCCTCCGGCTATAATTCCCACAACATACTCAATCAAACACTGCTAACTGTCCTTTGGGTAAAATGACCGTTTTACCCCTGATCATGCCCTAAGTCAAAGTCAGAGTCAACTTTCAGTTGACCCGACTCGCCGAGTTGGCTCGCCAACTCGCCGAGTCCCTGTCCAATCGACTGACCTAGATTCTGTTTCTACTCGTCGAATTAGGCGTTGACTCGACGAGTTCTCCTTCCAAACTGATGTTCAAGTCCTTCTTCCTACTCGCCGAGTTGTATGAACAACTCGGCGAGTTCATCTTCATCCGATGAACACTTATGCTACGACTCGCCGAGTTGTATGAACAACTCGCCGAGTCTGATCTTGATCTAAGGAGATTGCCTTGAACTCGCCGAGTCAGGGCAATGACTCGCCGAGTTCTTTCATGGATGAGTTCGGCTTCCAACTCACTGAGTCACACCCCGTGACTCACTACTCTACTCGACACAACTAAAAGGGGACAACCTCGGAGACTCGCGAGCAGACTCGCCGAGTCAGATGAACGACTCGCCGAGTCGCTACCATGCGGTCTCTAAATGGTCGTTTTTGCTTGAATCCAGCTTATGATATCCACAGATCTGGACTCCTAGGGCCTGGTTTACACGTAAAGTTTCCAACTTTACGTGTAGATCACCACCAATAAAGGTTCTAAGGCTTAAAGTGCAACAAAAGGGGTAGATCTAGGGCTTGTGTGCAATATGACTCCATAAAGGCAGTAGATCCAAGCTCCATGGACTGAATAGGGTCTAGATCTAAAGGCTAGCAACTTGAATCAACCAACAATGCACAACCAAGCTTGGGACATGGTTCAAGGAGGTCTTTAATGGAGTAATAAGCATAGAAACAGAGGGAAAACGAGTTATACCTCCAAGAGACTACTGAGAGAACACGAAGATGCTTGGCTTCCTTCCCTTCCTCTTGATCTACTCCACTTCCTTCTCAAATTCTTCACGAAAACACACTAAAAAGCCTCAAACTCACAAGAACAAGAGCTAGAACGTATGGAGAGCTTCTGAGGGTGAATGGGGCGAATTTGGGGCGCAAATGGTCGTTTAAATAGGGTGCAAACCCTTGGAAATTAGGGTTTCATCAGACAGCGTGGACTCGCCGAGTCCATAATATGGACTCGTCGAGTTGCCAACTTAACCGCGCCCCAAGTCTCTTCTCTACTCGGCGAGTCGGGCCTCCAACTCGCCGAGTCCACGACCAAAAATACAAAATATTCAGACATATCTTACGTACCAGGAACCAGGTGTTATATATATATATATATATATATATATATATATATATATATATATATATATATATGTATATGTATATATTGTTTCATGTTTTAAATAATTACACTGATAGAAATTAAAACCTTAAGCAAATAAATTTTAAAAATGAATTAACAATAATAACAACTATAAATAATATTAAACGATATATTATATTTTATTTTATTCATTTGTAACCCGTAGGTAGAGATCATTCAAAATATTGAGATTATGCAGTTTTAATAGATGTATATATTATCATATAATTCAAAATAATCAATATAATATATCAACTTAGTATACGAATTATTATATCAAATTTAACAACGATATTATTGTTATATTTAAAAAAAAACATATATTTGTAAAGATTTTAGCTATATAGATGCTTCTGCGCAACGCGCGAGCATTTGCCTAGTTTCTAATAAATGAAAGTTTTTTTTTTTTTTATTTATTTATTATATATATATACTTGTCACATTCTCATTCAATTTGTCAAATGTCATATTCTCATTCAATTTGTCAAATATCATTTTGTGGTTATTTTGAATTAATTTTTTTCCACATATCATTTTATGAGTTTTTCTATTTTATTAAAATTCATATAATTTCTAATAAATGAATGTTTTTTTTTTTTGCCACTTGTCACATTTTCATTCAATTTGCCAAATGTCATTTTGTAATTATTTTGAATTAATTTTTTTCACATTTCATATTATGAGTTTTTCTATTTTATTAAAATACATATAATATTTTAATGTAATAAATGATGTAATAAATGAATATCAATTTTATTTAAATTTAAAAGATAAAAAACATTTTCATTATAATAATTTATTATTTTTCTTATTTTCTTATAAATTCAAAGTTTTCAAATATTTTGACCTTTATATTTAACTTTTTTTTTTTAAATAAACCGATGTAATGTATGGATCTCACAACTAGTTGTTAATGTTTGAAACCATTCAACTCATTGGCCAAATACCCAACATCCATATAAATCAAAATTTATATGACCAAAAAAAATCAACCCACTTCCTTGAGATTTTGCTATCCTACTCATTGGCGAAATATCCCAACATCCCCCGAATCATATCTACAAACACGAAATCACACAAAAAACTCATTTAGGAGAAAAAAGATTTAACATTTATTAAGAAAGATTCAATCATTCAAACAATGAAGGATTCAAGAACATATGAGCTAATCAAACAAGGACAACACATCATGATTATCAATTTTATTGATTGAAACCTCTAATTCAAGCTCATCGACATACTTACATCTATCATATTCATCGTTATCTCCGACTTTCTTTTCTTCGTCATCGTAATCATCAAAAATATCTTCAACAACACACCTTCCGCTAACCGATGCCGTTGAAGGGCACAGTTTCTCGCCGGAGGCACTCCAACTGGCCTTGGAATCGCAAAGCATGCATCTTCTTTATATTCGTTGACAAATTCAGATCTTTAAAACTCTCTCTCGAAATCAAATACTTGAAGGCTTTTAACGCACGATTGAAGGATAATATTGTGAGAACAAAAGAATGATCGTTGTTATTTGTAAGTAAATAGCTATAAGGTAACAACGATCGATGGTGCAAAGTGAAGATGATGAAGGTGGATAAATGGGAAGGGTGATTGAGGGTGGTATAAGGCTAATAAGGAAGGATGGGGTCTTAAAACTTGTTATAGCAAAGTAAAGTGACCTTATTAACAAGTGACTTTAACGGTTTAACCCCTTAAAAAAATTATAAACGTTCTAAAACAACCTTGAAATTTTTGTAGGGTTAGAATAAAACATTTACCGTTGATATTTCCCTAATTCCCTCGCATCCATCATCTCCCACCCAAGCCGTCACGTACTACTCACGCCTTAAATCCCTAACAGCCATCGGTCCACCACATTCCAGCACCCCAACTCGCCGGTCTCCGCCGCTCAAAACAGTCCCTTCCATCCTCCATTTCTGTTTGAGCAAGAGGAAGAAGCGTAGAAGCAAGCTCCAAGCAGTGCACAACGGATTTCGACTTTCAAGAGGTTTTTTTCTACTGTGTGTAGTTCCGACTTCCGAGTTCTTTTCCATTCCTTTTGCTACTGTATTTAGTTTGTACTTCTACTTCTACCTTATGATTTGTTATTTTCCAATCTTTTTTTTCCTATTGCGTCAGTTCCTACTTCTACTATATGACCACCGACATTTCTTGGTTAAAATTGAGTTTTGATTAGTGAAAAGCGAAGTATCTTGGTTGTGTTAGTGTATATGTGAAGGAACATGTACTAGTTTGATGCCTATGTATGCTACAAGTCTACAACATTGTGATAACCATCTGGTTATCAAGATTCAAGAATGACAAATAGTTTGTGATATGAAATGGGATGGTTGCCCTTGCAGACAAACTGTTTGATCAAATGCCTGAAAGGGATGCATATAGTACTTTCTTAATATACATGTTTTCACTGATTGATTCTAACTAATATACATGTTTTAACTTTGAACTTTTGAATTTTGATGTTGGTAACTTGTGAATGAGCAATTTAATTCCAGGTAAACATTTTCTTTTGTTTTTGGTGGATTACATAACTTTTCAGTTCCATTTCGTTGATTTAAGCTCGACTTAATCCATGCACAAATAACATGGTTGTTTATCAGCTTGTATTGCGTATAAATCATGCAATTAGTCCTGATTAAGTTGAGGTGCTATTGTAGTTACATGATAAAGTTTATTGCTGTGAAGAGAATTGATTTTAGCTGCTGTTTTTGTGGGGTTTTGAAGCATTCTGCAATGTTGGATGAAAGCAAATTTGATGTGCATTTGAAGTTGTGGGCACTTCGAATCCCTAGAGAGTTCTGCAAGGTTGCAACTAAGCTTCTTAATGGGTATGAGATTTTGTTTATTTTTTTTAATCTTGCTTCATTTGATCACCCATATGTCCCTTGTTTTAGACTCAAATTCCATAGAAATCTTTTGCATTTCCAGTTGTCAAAGTCATGAACTTGAGTAGCTATATACTTACATATATATATTTATCACCACATGAAGACTGTTTATCCATGTAATTTGCAGAACTCTTAGGATCTAATTGGATCTACTCTTGTTATTTCACAAGCAATTTTGAGTCTATGAGTTCTTGTGAGGAAGAATTTGGTTGCATTATGTCAATTCTCATGAAGTGTTGTAATTTGATCTCGATCTTTAGTATTATGTAGACTTTCACATCAAATCATTTATCGTTTTTTGTTCTTTATACATTTAGACATATGCTTGATAGACCACGTATCAAGCCCATCACTGAAGACCCAACTAGTGAAAAAACACGTTATGTTATATTATCTGAAAGGGTTCAAAATCCAGGTAAGAAATTCAATATTACTCTTATTAAAGTAGTAATTTTTTAATGTTATGTTATTTTGCACTCATTGCCTTGTAAGTTGTAATAATGCGTGATGCATCTCATTAATGAATGAACATCTTGTCCTTTCTTTTTGCATAATCTTTCATGTTTTTATTGTTTTTTGAGTTTTTTCTTGTTATATATCGAGATTCATATTTTGTAATTGTGGCTTTTTGGAGAAGATCTGTCAGATATTCCAACCAAGAATCTTGATGAGCTAAAGAAACTATGCAAGATTGAAACAGTTCCATACTCATTGACTCTTGGATATTCATACTGGGGTGCAGGTGACTTTATCTTCAAATTTACACTCAAAACTGTTATCTTTAAGCAAAAAAAAATTATATTTATTAAATGAGTGTTGTTCTATTACACAGACCATGTGCTGAAGCAGATTCTACCTTCTGGACTTGAGGTCCCTTCATCTTTTGAAACAATAGTTAAGTATTCTTTCTGTATCTCTTTAAATTTCTATTTAGCCTTACTCTCTTTATCTCTAATTGGAATTCAAAATTGGTATTTCTTGGATGTATTATTTGGAATTAATTGTATTGGATGAATGAATTGAGCTGAATTTATTCTTCATTTTCAGGTCACATTGCTCATCTGAATATCCCAGATGAACTCCTTCCATACAAGGATGTAATTGCAAAGGTCATCTATGATGTATGTATATGACATGTCTCAAACTTCCATCACATTTTTAGGGTTTTTCTATACAAATTAGAAAAAAAAAACTAGAGCATTTATTCTAATCATTTATTTTCCAACTTAACAACAGAAAAACTATCCCAGAATCCAGACAGTTGTCAACAAAGTTGGCAGCATTTCAAACGAATTCCGGGTCCCACAATTTGAAATTTTGGCGGGAAAAGAGGAAATGGCTACAGAGGTGAAACAATATGGAGCAACTTTCAAGATGGATTATGGATTGGTGTATTGGAATTCAAGACTAGAACATGAACACATAAGATTGGTGAATAAGTTTGAGAAAGGAGAAATCATATGTGACATGTTTGCTGGAATTGGCCCTTTTGCTATTCCTTCTGCTCAAAAAGGATGCTTGGTGTATGCAAATGATCTGAATCCAGACAGTGTTCGTTATCTCAAAATTAATGCAGATATCAACAAGGTTAATCACACTCTTCATGCGTATAATTTGGATGCAAGAATTTTCATCTCTAAATTGATGCAAGTGTTGCCTGTTGATGATGATATGAAAAAACCAAAACCAGAATCTGAGAAAAGGAATGGAGGTATGTTTTGTTTTTGCTTGAATTTAAATTTATGATTTTTATTAATTTGATATTCATTCCTGGAATTGGAAACAAAGAGGAGGAGGATATGAACAAAGAATCAAATGTAGCCACTTCTGAAAGCTGTATACAAGGTATGATGATGTTTTGCATTCAAAACTTTTCACTAGTGAATTTGTCATTTCTGTGTAAAAGACGTAAATACCCTTGCAATTCAAAACATGGTGAAGCTCATGTAGCTGTGAAGACAAAAGGAAGCAAAAATAAAAGAATGAAAACTTTGTTGACATTTACTGAAAAATCATGGGAGCATATTGATCATGTGATAATGAACCTTCCTGCTTCTGCTTTACAGTTTCTAGGTAAATATGGATGGATTCTGTAAATTTATCTTTTCATTCATGTTGATGAAAAATGAAAATTTAATTATTTTTGTCTCAGATGTATTTAGAGGACTTATACAGATGAAATATTGGAAAGGATCTCTTCCATGGATTCATTGCTATTGCTTCATTCGATCAAATGAGACTCAAGAATCAGTGGTTTCAGTAAGCTTTATTATTTATACACCATCTTCATTTCTTTCTATCACAACATTCTTTTCTTATTAAGACACTCTACTGAATATTTTACTTAGTTTGACCCATTTTGACTAATTACCAAACTTTTCAGGAGGCAGAATCTCTCTTGAATGCCAAGATACACGACCCTTTATTTCATCGAGTTCGAGATGTTGCTCCAAACAAGGTAAATTCCAAATATAAAATCTTATACAAAATTTCAACACTTTGTTTTTTTTTTTTTTTTTTTTCCTTTAAAGATAAAGTGCTATCTCAATGATTTGTTTAAAAAGAGTAACAACTCAATCTTTTATCTCCACTTTCTCCATTAAGACGTTCTTTCTGTATGAAGTAGAAAAAAGAAACACTGATATATAGCTTACCAGATTAAGTCATGTCTTGCAGGCGATGTATTGTTTGAGCTTTCGATTGCCCGAAGAAGCATGCATCAATGAAGTTTCTTGATTTAAATATTGTAACTTTTTTTTACATGATAATTAATTATTGGTAACTTTTTTTTTTTTGTGTGTTTTAGGATAAGAGTTTTCGATAAAGTATAATACTCTTCTTTTTCGCAATGGTCTATTAAAAACCTTAAAATAAGAAAGATCAAAAAACATGTAAAAGAACAATTAGAATTCCACCATTGAAATTGAAAGATGCCATCATAAACTTTAGGGGTAAAGCATATCCTCTTGACTGGAATTGCATCATATAGTCATATATTAGTATATACGTATTGCTTTATGCTTTTTCTTCAAGTGGGTACAAAATTCAAAAAGACAATTTTTTATTGGAGCACACACCTAGAAAATATAACAAGTAGTCTTAAAATAACATGTGTTTTATCTTTATTTTGTATTTTATGTTTATGTTTATGTTTTTTGTACATATCTACTCCTATAATCCGGAAAAGAAAGTCTCATTATGGTCATGTATTAACATTTAGATTTCCATTAATTCATAGTCCATGAGAAAAAGACAAAAATAACCAAAAATTAAGCCATGAACATGAGTGCGTAGTTTATGTCAAAATCTTTTATTGGTCACAAGCTATTGCTAAAAAACAAAAAGGTATAAACATGCAGTCATATTTTTCTGATTTATGTGTATATTTTGTAAAACAAGGCAACTAGCTGTAAGTTGTAAATTTTTTAAATGGATACAAAATGATGTAAAATAGACACGTTTGGAAAGTAAAAAAATTAGGTATGTAGAAAAAAAATGATGATTTAAATGGAAGAAATCTAAAAAACGTTATTGATTTTTATAAACTTATCCTGAAAGAAAGTTGAAAAGGTTAAAAGCAAACAAATGAGAGGACAGGAATGAAAAATATATAACACGTAGATTCAGGCTGGAAAGCTTAATGAAAACATGTTTGGGGTAATCTTCTTTTTTCCCTTTTTTGCCCCTTGTTAAAAAGATAGAGTCAACTTTTCTTCTTCCCTATCTTCGTTTCACAACTTTCTTGTGTTGACCCTTTTTGGTGAACATTAGGACCCATACATATATATATGGTGTCATGGTAACGTAAAACTTTTAATAAATGATGTGTAAGTTTATACTTTAGATATGTGATTTTCCTACTTTTAAAAAATACAATGGTGAAATATGTGTATTTTGGTTATATTGGTTGTGGATGAACCCTATCCGTAGAATCAATACAAGTTCATCAATCGAAGTCAAATACTTTACTCTTGTTTTCGATAAAGTTGAATGTATGATTGTATTGGCTATTTTCACTTTTGTATAAGAATTGTTACATAATCGGTCTTGGCTCTATTTTCACTTTTGTATAAGAATTGTTACTTAATATTCTAGTAGTTTTATAGAAGGTGTTGTTTGATATGCTGCTTATTTTGTGTTGTATGAGATTGAATCTAACTCTATTAGATTTATAATGTTTTATATCACATTTAGAAGCATTTAAGTCAGTCTTGGCTCGTCTGAAATGCGTCTTACCCTTTCAGATTTAGGGTTGAGCCTTACTAAGAGGTTGTTTGATAGTTGTTGTTTGAGTCTGACCTGCTTGAGTTAATGAATGTCTGATTGAGTAACTCATCCTTAAATTTGACCGGATAATAGACATTTCAGAGGAGCCAAAAACCGTGTCAAAGATTTTTAAGTATGATATCAAATAATATGAGTCTCACCGAGTCAGACTGAGTCGTTTACCAGATCCAACAAGATGAGTAAGAGACATATCAAACAAACCACAATATGTAGTCAATCATATTTGATGCAATCAATAACTATCAAACTGCCTTTGTTTTTTAGTAACTTATTGCAAATTAAAAAATAAGGATATTTAGGTAATTTTTAGAATCTTTGTTAACTAACTATACATTTTATGAAATGTGTTTATTTGGTTGTAAAAAGAATAAAAGATAATTTATTGGACAATAAAATTAATTATTGCAACTTTTCGAAACAACCATTTTTAACTATTGAAGTTCACTAGAGATTTAACGGGGCAAATCGGTTAATCGGATAAAACATTACCATGATGGAATTAAATCATAAAATTTTGAAGGAACAACCTAATTGAATTAAAAAGGTAAACTAATGAATAATTATATTTCATTGTATCTATGGTTGGTTCGAATAAATAAAATAAAATAAACTTATTTTTATGTGTAATTAGAAGATATAAACTAAATTGATATTAAGGTATATCTTTAAATAAATACAGTAAAGCGTTATTTTATCAAATAAATCATATTAACGTATATCTTTAAATAAATAATATATACACATATATTATGTTGTTTAAATAAAATAAACATTAAATACGACGATATCTTAAAAAGTTAAAATAAAGTTGTTCATTTTTTTAGTGACTCAAAAAATTATTGAAGCTAAAATCATATCATAAGAAAAAATCTAGTTATGAAAGTGTGTGTAAGAGAGAGAGAGATGTTGTAGAGTGAGTTTGAATCGAGTTTAAAAAAATGAAATCAATAACAGAAAGCATTAAGAACACAATCATAAATAATATATGTTTGGCTCGTTGATTTGTCTGAACCAGTTAAAATTTTTTAGAGAGAGAATGATAACGAAAGTGCCTAAAAACCTCTCTCTACTTTTATACTAACACTATATATATGGTACAAGAGACGCTTAAATAGTATGCAAGAACTAGACGTTTGACACTAACATAAAAATGTCTTACAAAATACATACACTGCGAAGTACTAGACTTCTCATCTATACATACCAAAAAGACTTTCGACATCTCACTAGAGAATTCACACCTAACAATCCCCCCCCCCCCCCCAGTGAGAAGTATCAAAATCATGTAATCAACTTCATGGTCCGGAGAAGCACTCTGCGAATTTCCATATTCCAAAGAATAGTTTTTCGAATTTCAACCTTGTCCACATCATTCTTCTTACAATTATTCATTCGAACTAGAAGGCTTGTATACCGGACATTTATGTACCTCTCAACATCATCCATTTGGAACAAAACTTTGTCATTCTCTAGTTCTTGTTCTTGCCACGAAACACTACCCCTAACGGTTGGTGAACAATTTCTCCATCTTCATATTTGTCAATATTAATCTTCCCCTTTAGAAAGGACTAGGGAACTTTTAAATTCTTGTTGATGATCATGATAAGCTCGATATTAGTGATGTTAGTGATTGCGAGGCAATCATAATAACTATCAATGAAGACTTTGATATGAGTGAAGTCGATACGAAAATCATCCTTATTGCTCTCTAGTAGTTTCGTTACATCCATATTGCTTAGAATCGACGCCATTGTGACCAAGTCATTCAAGTTCATTAATGGGAAGTCGGCAACTGAAAACTTACAGACTACATTGTTCACCCTTACTACAACATAGCAAAAATTTTGAAGAATCCCTTCGAACAAGTTTTCCCAAGTGATTGGCATCACTTTGATAATCTTCACAGAAGACCAAATATGCTCTTCGCTTTTCCTAGGACTATATGAAATCTTAATTTCAGTCTTTTATATTTCTCCTTGTCTTTGAATCGATCAACCAACTTGTACTGAGAAGAAATGTAAGTCATGTGATTGATAGGAAAACCGAGTTGATTGAAGTCAGAGTTTTCAACATCAGAACTTCTCTTTGGAACCTTGCAAAAACCATTATCTTCCCTAATGAAACAACTTGCTCAATAGTTTCATAGCACCAGTGTTTGTTGGGATCACCCTTGTTCAAACTCGGTGGATCATTCTGTCTTTGCCTCAGAATACTATTTATCTGTCTTTTTCTTTCGATCTCCATCTTTAATCTCTTCTTATTTTCTTCTTAAGACAGAGTTACCTCAAGACCTTCCCCATTATCTCTTTGATTGTCTTTTGAAGGAGGTGGTTTAGAACTTGACCTAGAGCCTCCAACACTTTCGTTAATGACAATCCCTTTTGTTATCGGTCTTGAAGTGGTGGTTTTCAAAGTTGTTGTCAAAGAAACTGGAAGTGAAGTGGGTATTTGTGTAGACATCACCCTTCCAACAACTGCACCCTTATCAAATCTTTTGAAGATCCAACATCTCCGCATCCTTTTTCTCCCCCTTGCGACACTTGCTTCGTTGGTGGAGCATTCGTTGGTGGAAGAAGAACCACCTCAAGGAGGGGAGCTAGTTCCTTTTTGAGATTTGCTTCAATAGATGAAATCATCTGAGTGATTGCTTCTTGGGAAACAGATGATTGGTTTGAAAGAGCAGCTTGCGAGATGGTTTCCTTGATGTTGCTTAAAAATTCCTCGAATTTCTCAAAGACTTTGGAATATGATTCTGTCTTCGCATCCAACTTAGTTGAACAAACAATATTGTACTCAACTAGCTTGACAATTGCATCAGCAACAAAATCAACTTTGCCATGAAGAACATAATGACTTTCTCTAACTTCTCAACTTCTTTTGCTATCTCCGCTTTAAGATTAGTCATCTTGAGATCAAGAGACTCTTTTATCGCCTTCACTTGCTCAACTAAAATTTCATGACGCTCTTTCGCAACATCACAAAGCTTTTTAACCTCATATTCAAATTTATCATCATGAATTTTCAATCTTTCAACTTGTTGCTTTTCAATGTTTTCCACCATGCTCCTTAAATGACTCTCTTGCGATTTTAACAAATACTCCACTTCAACCCCAGACATAGAATGTCAACCCCTGGTGTCTTCTTGTATTTGTAACAAATAATTAAGCTAGTTGTTGAGAATCTTGAAATGTTTACCTGCCATGAGTGTGCTTTCAGGAACATTATCCTCCTCAAGATCAAATTCCAGGTCAATAAAAGAAACCATTATATCATCATCATTGGGTTCATCATCTTGAACTATCTATTCTGCTTCAGTGGATTGCAAAGAGAAAAGAGTAGTTATCGGTTCATGCATTATTATGGAGAATGTTGGTGAGATTGTGGATATAGGAAGTGAAGATGGGATAGGAGAAGATAATGGTGGTAATGAAGTTGAAGTATCAAGAATTGTGGTTTCGATGGTAGATGAAAGAATTTGTAGTGATCTTCTTCTGAGGTATAAATTTATTTAAATTCTCAAGTTTTATTTTGGGCTATAATAGAATTATATTTTATGGATTGGGCCTCTTTGCTTTAGGCCGACACATAGGCTGCCCATAAGCCGTACGCGGGGCGTAACCCGTTGTACGCGAGGCGTAGTGCCTAAATGAAATGCGGGGATGAGAAGCGTACGCGCAACGTACCATATGGTACGCCCAACGTACGCGGTCGGAGGAAAAACCCTAATTTTAGGGGTTTAAGGCTATATAAACCCCATTATAGCCTCCTTCCTTGTTTCCCCATCAGCCTCCTTACTCTCAAGAAAACCCTAATTCGTTCTTATCCTCTCTTTGTGTGTGAAGAAGCTTTTGTGAGTGTTTCAAGGAAAGGAAGTAGTAAAGAAGGAAGGGAAGAAGTTAGAGAAGAAGCTTGAGCTCAGAGATCTGGACTTAGCACCCTCTTGGTCATCAAAGGAAGGTATAAAGTTCTGAATGTAACGCCCGTGTTTCTGGGCTTGCCATTTTTAGCAATGTAATAGTCTAGGTTAACCTTTGTAACTCAACTTGAAATAATAAGAATGTATTATTTGTGAATTATGTGAATTATGTGATTTATGTGTTTATTTTCTTGATTTTTATAATTTAATGAATTAAGAATGAAATAAGCGTCAAAATTAAAGTGTGAGACACGCCTGATATCTTTGCATAAAGTTGTAGTGGTCGAAACAAGGATTTCGGAGATATAAGGAATGCCAAAATCCGAGTTATAACGAAGAAGTTATGACCTGTCGAAGTTTCGAGACAGAACCGGCACGACGCCGAGTGACGTAAAATATGAATTTAAGATAGAACGATATTTAGCCTTAGCGATCTAAACGAAAGTCGTAGATTTCGTTAAACCGAGAGCGTGCATAAAAGGAACGCCCAAATCTGACTTCGTATGAGGAAGTTATGATTTTCTGAAGTTTCGACGTGGTAGTATGCAGCCCGAATACTCGATTTGAGATCGAGCGGTTTTTAGCTGAAACAATCTAAATGAGAATCGAAGATCTTGTTGTTAGTAGCGAAGCAATGAAAAGTTAGGCGAGAACGGACGTCAGACGAAGAAGTTATGAATTTATAACGAAGTTTTTCTGTCCCGGCCTTCTAAAAATAAATAATAAAAATAAACGTGAAAATTAGCCGACGGAGTCTAAATGAAAGTTATAGAGTACGGTCTGACCTTCGCGTGGATATAAAGAACATCGAAAACGGAGCTCGTATGCGAAAGTTACGCAATTTAGAAGTTTGACAAGTCAATTACGCCCCGCGTAATTTGAGTACGCCCCGCGTACTCAGTCGGTTGCAACTTGTCTGACCAATACTCGAGTGCCACCAGTCGACGCACGCAGTGACGTCAAAGTACGCCCCGCGTAATCCCAGACCCAGCAGCCTATAAATAGAACTCGAATTCAGTCATTTTCTCTTGTTCAAACTCTTCTTTCTCTCTAAGTTTTGCCTCGTTTTGCGTGTTGTTTATACCCCGAAGCCCCGGTAATATTCTCGAGCCCCAAAGCAAGATCCGAAGCCCCGAGAATCCCGAAGAGCGTTATTCCCGAGCCGAAACGCTGCCCGCGAGGAGCCCGGTTTTGTGAAGATCTTCCAGATCTACGGAGAAACGCCTCTTCTGCAAGCCGTAGTGCTGCCCGATCATCTTCTGATCATGTGAGTGTGTAGTTACTTTCATTCCAACACAATATTATGAAGTATTTCCTATAAAATACGTGTTATGTGTATATATTTGGTTGTTATACGTGCGAGTGTATATTCACTCTCTTCTATCTTATAGATCTGAAGTATTCTTTATGAAATACGTGTTATGTGTGTATGCCTCATCTGTTATGTGAAAAATGTTTTGATTGAGCATGCTATACAGGTTTTGAAACTACGTATAAAAATGTATATTTTATCTACTAATATGTTGGGTAGAATATGGGTAGATAGTTGGTGTGTAATAAACAGATGAGAGGCCTCGATGTTGTTTTGATCCAGTCATCTAGCGGAATTTAGATGACGACCACGGACTTTTCTAGATAGTCCAGTGGAACGCTAGCAGGCTCATAACCTGTAGGTGTTAATGAACTTGGGTGTTCATTCGCTGTATTCCATCCCCCCCCATGGTTGCCTTATTTGACTTATATTGCTGAGGAACCCCCGAAACATGTGTAGTCGCCCCGATGAAATATTTCTTAGACTAGGTCCCTTGTGTTAGTTATTTTAGGGACATAAAGTGAGAATAACGGGAATGGGTAACTGGGTTATTGTTGGTTGATAATAATTAATTTAATTATTTATTGTGGGTTGAAAACCCTATATGCTCACCTGGCTCCCAAGCCTGACCCACTCAGTTGATTTATTTTACAGGAAGTGGCGCAAGAGCTTAAGATGGGCGAACATCAAGTTGTTTTGTTTACAAGTCTGTATATGTATATATTTGTTGAAAGACTTGTAATGCTATCGTTTATGCTTTATGATCTGTATCGGAACATGACATCCCGACTTTTGATTATGAAATGAAATCATATTTCTTTATGAAATGTTTTGATAAATATCTATTTTATCATGTTTTGTTTTTGGGAACAAATTCCGCATCTCTTTTAAAATTAAAAGGACATACTCTGAAAATTATTTTTAAAAAGCATAAATGAAATCGGTCTTTTCTGGCCGAGATTTTGGGGATGTCACACTGAACTTTCTTCCTCTTTCCTTCTAGATCTAGGTTATGGAAGTTTGGACCTTTTTAGGTCCAAAGGTTGAGTCTTGATCTTGTAAGTCGGTTTTGGAGCTTGGGTTGCCATCCTTAAGGCTCAGAAACATCTTCCTAGCAATAAAGTTTCAATCTTTGTGGCTTATATGGAACCATGCATGAGATCTAGTTAGCTACATGGAAGTAGAATGTTATTTATGGAAGTTTGAGCCTTTATGAGACTTTTAAGCCATCAAGTAAGCAACTTTATGGCTTAAGACATGGAACAAGCTCAGTATCTGGATTTGTAGCTTCTGGATCGGATTATTAAGCACTTAATGAGATTTTGGCTTAAAAGGGTTGTACGCTGGGCGTACAAGGAGGTACGCGCCGCGTACAAGCCAACAGCCAGTACGCTCAGCGTACCTTGGTGTACGCCCTGCGTACACTGCCAGTTTGGGCTTCGAGTGTTTTGGGCCTCGGTGTGGGCAGAGTTTCAGGCTTAGGGTCCTTGGGACTTAATGCCCCATCAGAATTCAGTTGCTAAGGACCAAGGATTTAGTATTGGGCTTGAGTAAGGCCCAATAAAGGGTTTTGGGCCCTATATAGCAAATTGGGCCATTAATGGGCCAATAGTAAGCTTGGAAAGCCTATCTTGTTATTGGACCTCCAGAAGTTAGATTTTGGGCTAAGTTTATTATGGGCTCAAGTAGGACCCAAATGAGGAGATAGGCCCAATTTAGAAAACTAGGCCATTAATGGGCCTATAGTGGGGCCATGGATGGACTTAGAAGGAACTTAGGGTTTTGGTCCATGTTGTGACCCATGCCATAGCAGGGGTAAAATGGTCATTTTACCCATAGGAGACTCCCTATTCTGATTTAGTATTTTATTTCCCATGATAGTTGGGAAGCAGCCGGAACAGCAGTCAGGGATTTCTCATTCAGGAGTTCAGCAGTCAGCATCACGAGGTGAGTTTCCTTTCAGTAGGAACGGGTCTAGGGCCACAATGCCGACCCGTTTAGTTAGCAGTAGTTCCAGACCTTGGTCCGATGCAATAGTTAGATTGCTTGATGTCTTTGTGATTCAAGCATGTTTTGTGTTATGTGTTCCGGACTTCAGTCCGATGCAGTATGCAGTATATGTGCGTATGCTAGTTGATATGTTTATGCTATGCTATGTTATGCTCAGTCAGTTTTCGAACTTCGGTCTAATGCAGGGGACCAGGTCCCAGTCAGTTCCGGATTTCGGTCCGATGCAGTTAGTTCCGGATTTCGGTCCGATGCAGTTAGTTCCGGACTTCGGTCCGATGCAAGGGACAAGGTCCCAGTCAGTTCCGGACTTTGGCCCGATGCAGAGGGCAAGGCCCTAGTTAGTTCCGGACTTCGGTCCGATGCTGTTTCTGGATTTCGGTCCGATGTAGTGGGCAAGGCCCAGTATGTGTTTTATATGTTATTGTATGGTATGTGGTAGTTTGGGGGAGCTCACTAAGCTTCGTGCTTACAGTATCAGTTTTGGTTTCAGGTACTTCCGCAAGTAAAGGGAAGAGCTCGGGATGATGGCATCGCACACACCACAGCTTCAGCTTTTATTCCTGGGAGTTTATGGCTTGAGATGTTGACGTATGGTTTTTATGAGATAACATTCAGTATATGATTTTTTTAATATTGTTAAAATGAAAAAAAAATTGGGTCGTATTTTGGGATGTTACAGAATTAGTGTTATAGAAATAGTTGAGGTATCAAGATGGGTGTAACATCCCAAAAATTCGTGCCAAATTTAAACTTTTTAAAACATTTCAAAACCAATGATTATTAAGAAACTTGTTTTCAAAATAGTATAATGTTAGAGTATCCC